TGCCAAGTAGTTTCTTCTTCACTGTGGTCGGTTTATCTAAAAAAAGAAATTAATTAATTAATGAAGAGATAGATAGATAGATAGATAGAATTACACAGAACATACTGCACTCTACCAGTCAAATGTTATGATATACATATTTAGGATAATACATAGTAATCAAATATACATTAGACATATGTCGTATATTAGACAAATATACATATTAGTCACATATACTAAGAAAACTGAGTTACTTGTAAGTACATAAAAACCCATGTTAGATCAACAGAATTCCCCTAAAGGTGTTTTTTTACCACCAGTCACTTTCTGAAAATCTGAATGAATAATGTTGCTTTGAACTTTTCTCAACAGTTTATTTTTCTACAGTGTAGTGAAAATAATTACGATTTTTGGTCGCTTAATATTTCCCATCATATGTGCTTTTTCTAGTTTTGATGACTTTAGTAATACTGGAAATTGTGGGATAAAAACATGACAATAAAGAGACAAAGAGAGGTTTGTCCAAACGTTTGACTGGTAGAGTATTTCCTCATTCTGTCCATTTTTGAATGAACTCACCGCATAATTTGGACACTGGCCTGACATTACAGGAAGCTGATGAGACACTGAATGAGCTATTTGGCTGTGAATGACACAAACACTCACATTTAAGTAAAGATTATTGAAATATGAAACATTTGAAGTGCCATGTTGTTAGACAAGGCAACCAAATTAAATCTCACCGGTGGCATTGTGCAGAACTTCAGTCTGTCTGGAGGTGAAGATCCTTGTTTGGTCATTAGCACTGCAAAAGCGGTTTTCAGTTATTTAAAAAGGAAACATATACAAATCAACTGATTCAGTTTCCCATAAAAATACCTAAAGGTTCATTTCCTAATACTGATGACGCAACAGAAAGAATTACGAATAAGAAGAAGTAGGAAAGAGGAACTGAATCAGACTGTCACGTGATTTAGCATCATCCTAACACGGAAGTGATACAATTGACTCAGAAAAAAAGACAAATCTTTCACTGGGGCAGTACCTTTTTAAAGGGTACTACTATGTACCTTTAAATGACTAAAATGCACCCTTTAGGGGTGAATATGATGCAAAAGCTACATCCCAGTGACAGCTTTTGTAACTTCTTTTTTTGAGATCGTATCATGTTAATGACATACTGTAGCCTAAACCCTTCTGAATGAGACAACAGGAGTGTATTATATGGTTGCATCTACAAAAACATCAATAACAACATGGTGATTCTTACCCGTCTGCTGGTAGTGACTGATCTTCTTAGCTAGATCGGCCCTATGGATGGACCTCAGGCAGTGTTCAATCAAGTCCATCTTCTCACTGGAGAGCTGGTCGAGTTTCTCCAACTCCACTACGACGTCTAAAAAACTCTGCAAGTATACGTTTAAAAATCTCATTTCAGCTCCACACATGAAACATCTGAGTTCTACACGTGAGCTTTCAGGACATCATACCTGGACATTGTCCAGTTTGTGTTTTGGTAAAGTGCCTCGGAGTAAGAACGTCAATGACTTCAGGTTTTCGGTGTCCATGTCCTCACTAACATCAGCCATCAGCACTCTAAAAACACAACGTCCAGGTTAAAACCTTCTCTTAAACTCCCACACTGTGCATAAATGGAGATGCGCAGAGCGAGCGTTACCTGTATTCCGATACAGAATGGCCATTTTTTAGCAGCCCCTCAACCGCGCTCTTGTTGGTGCTCAGCACTTCTCTCAGCAGATCATAGCGTTTTATTTTCAGAATGAGCTCCATGAGAAACACGTAATCCATCCTCATCTGGCACAGCACAGATTGTAACATGCCTCTGGGATCTGTAGAGAACTTGTCCAGATCCAGGGCGCCGCACAGGTAAGAGATCCGCTTGCATTCATCGGTGCTGAGCTCACCGGTGATCTGACTGATAGTGTGGTACAGGCCCGACATTGTGCTCCAAAATGACTCTGATAAAGACAAAAACTGTCATTATGAAAGGAAGAATCACTCTTAAATGGGGTATTTGGTTCATTTACAAAAGTGTAGGGTTAGCCTATGCTTTCTTGTATTAAATGTAGTATGTACAAATGGTGAGTCAGGTAATTCATCCTATTGAGACTTACTTTCACAATTAAATAGCATTTGCAAATGTACAAGCCAAGGCATTACAGCAGGATGTGACTCAGTATGGGTACATGTTGGGATATTTGGTTTGCATGTTGTATCTTCAAATGACACCAATCGACATAATACGACGATATCCGTCTACTATAGACCCAGCAATAATAATAATAATAATAATAATAATAATAATAAACACAGCAAGCGTTTCTGCCAAAATAGCACTATATAGCCCATCATATATATCGTATTAAATAAATAGCCTATCGTATCTTTTGGTTAAGATTATTTAAAACTTTCTATCATTTATTTTTGATGACAGTTTTACTAGGCTATATTAACAATACCTTCAGTCGCATTTATAGCGTAAAACGTAGAGTAAAAAATTATATTGCTATATATGGTTGTGATTCTGAAACTATGATTAGCTACAGTGCGGTAAAGTTTTCTGAGCATGCTTCAAAAAAACTGCTACGTGTTTTGTGTGGAGATTATAAGTCAATAACTTCAAATATTCTCGAATAAAAAGACAAACCTGTCAACCTTACCTCAAGAGAGCTGTTGTTCTGACTGAACGGAGCATCCGCGCTCTGGAGTCATACAGCGTAAGAGCGATTCCGT